GTAGGGAAAAAATTTCCAAAAATTTTCAGAGACCTAGGTTCATTTAGTAAAGAGTTAACTATTCACACGAGAGAGGGGGCTAAACCCTTCGCACTAAGCGTACCGCGATCAGTTGCATTACCTTTATTACCGAAGTTAAAGAAAGAGTTAGACGCGCTACAAAATAAGGGCGTGATCGTCCCAGTCGGTTTCCCGACAGAGTGGTGCAGTCCTATAGTGATAGTTTCGAAATTAAATGGAAATACGCATATGCGGCGATTATACGGTTCTCAATAGGAGCGTGAGACGCACGGTACACCTGATACCGAAGGTAGACGTCACGCTCGCAAAGTTAAAAGGGTCGAAAATATTTTCCAAGCTCGATGCTAAAACCGGCTATCACTAATTAAAATTAGATAAAGAAAGTAAAAAATTAACGACGTTCATAACCTGGTTCGGAAGGTATATACACACACGCTTGCCATACAGCATAAACTGCGCATCAAATTATTTTTCAAAAGAGTTCACGGAGGCGTTAGGCTTGACATAGCAAATGTGATCGTGGTCGTCGACATTTTAATATACGGCCAGAACGTCGAAGAACACGACAAAATGCTAAGAACGGGACTGGGAAGGTTAGAAAACGCGGGAATAACGCTCAACAAAGACAAATGTATTATCGGTGTACGTGAAATAAATTTTTTAGGATAGAATTTCAGAACACGGGATTAGTATCTTGCCCGAGCGCGTAAACGCGATAATTAACTTTCTGGCGATAACTCCCAAAGATAAAGAAGCTGCAATTTTTAGGTATAGTAAACTATATTAGCAAATTCATCCCAAATAAATCCTCGTTGTTAGAACCGCTCAATTCACTGCTAAAAGACGGAGTACCCTTCGGTTGGTTTGGGGCACAGGAGAAAGCATTCCGCAAAGTAAAAAAAATACGCTCAGGAAGCTCCGACATTAGCTCATTACGATTTTATCAAAAGAATCGTGGTTCAAGCGGATGCTTCTAGCTACGAGCTAGGCGGAGTGTTGATGCAAGAGGATGGGGAAAAAATCGCGAAATAGTAGCATATGCTCATTAAGAACACTCATAGCGTGCGAAATAGCCAGATGCACGGTATAGCCAGATTGAAAAGGAGACATTAGCCTTAGTGTTCGCAACAGACCGTTTTAAAGATTTCATTGTAGGAGTCAAAGTAGCGCTCGAAACCGATCACAGACTGTTGGTTCAAATCTTGCAAACAAAATATTTAGACGAGTTAACTCCGAGATTACAAAGAATGCGGATGCGTTTAATGTATTACTCGTATAGCGTGGTATGTGTACCAGGAAAACAGCTGGTCCTAGCGGACTCTGTCGAGAAATCCGATAGAAAACAGGGAGGCAAAAGAAATTGATATTTCCGAAGACCTCAATGTTTATATAAATTTTATCATAGATGGCTTACCAGCAACAAAAAATATTTTAGAAAGAATCCGCACACAGCAGGAAACCAACGGTGTATGTTTAAGATTAAAACAATATTGCTTATCCAAGCCTTCAAAGAAATTTAGCAGATGGGTTATTTATTATCTTATTATCAGCATAAAGATGAAATCTCCTGCTGCGGAGGATATCTCCTTTTTGGTTCACGGTTAATCATACCACTCCCTTTATAACTCGAAATGCTGCAAAAGATTCACAAAGGGCACTTGGATATAAGTAAGTGTAGAGACAGAGCCAAATAGTCTGATGGATAGGTTTAAGCACACAGTTGACGAATGTGATCAAAAACTGTCCCGCCTGTATCGAAGAGAGAGGTAACAGGAAAGAATCGTTTACCAGAGAGGAATTTCCAGATCGGCCATAGCAGAAAATCGGTTTAGATTTATTCAATGTTCCAAATGATATTTGATTGCAACAGATTATTACTCGAGATATTTTGAAATATGCGCATTAAAGTCCATGATCGAGGCAGAAATAATCGAACATTGCAAAAATTTATTTGCGAGATTCGGCATCCCCGAGATAGTTCGGAGCGATTGCGGAACTCAGTTTTCCACAGAGTTCAAAAAACGGATGAATACGAATTCAGGCACGTAACGAGTTCGCCGAAGTTCTCGCAAAGCAATAGCGCAGCGAAAGCGGCCGTTAAGATAGCAAAATCCATCCTAAAAAAATATAAAGATGTGTATTTAAGCTTACTTGCATACCGATCAAGCCCGCTAGAAAACGGGTTTCTCACAAGCTGATGTTCTCGCGTAAAATCAGATCGCGCGTATTGACATTTCCGCAAAATTTAGGCTTTAAAGAACATAAGCGCGTTGAAAGAAAAGGAGAGGAAGGGGAAGCAAGAAAACATGTATAACAAGCATCACGGAGTAAAGAAATTTTCAAGTGGTTGAGACCCTCCATGAGGGTGAGAAAGTATGGATAGTCGACATGCGTGCGTACGGCGAAATTATAAAGATAGATGTGAACTCGAATTTGTAAAAACCGAAAGAGACAACGCGGTGCGATGTAATCGTTGGCATTTAATATCGGCGCCGTACAGGGACGAGACTATCTGTAACAGCGAAATACCTATTGTTCCCGACGATATGATAACGGAACATCAAACCACTACGAGCAAGGAAGACCACGTAGTTCCTCGCGCAGGTGATTGTTGCACGTGAGCGAGCACTCGTCGGAAAATATTTCGGGCGAGCTGGTTAGTTTGGCGGGGTGCGACGCGAGTAACCGCATACAAGCGAATGTACAAGAAAGCGTGAGGAATTGTCAACCGTCGCCGCATAAATACACAAGACCGAAAAAACCGCCGAGTAGATATGGAGTACAATAAGAGTCAGGGTGCGATTGTAAAACAATAACATGCCTTTAATAAAAAAGGGAGAGTGTTGTGCGAGTGCGACCCAAAAGCATAACGCCGAGGCGCCTGTAGGTACAAAGCAGAGGCACGGACATTACCCTGGCGACACATGAGAATCGTAGCCGCGCTCTCACAACGCCCATCACAGACATAAAGACCCGAATATTCTTTTACCTGGATCCGCTTCCTATCAGAGGTATCTCCACCACAACAATTACAAAAGTATAAATAAAAGGAATAGCGTTTTTTTTATAGATTTCGGCCTCCTGAATACGATAATGTTAATAAAAAGTTCGAGATCAATAAGTGACACCTTGAAAATTGAACATGAACATGATATATTTAAACAAATTTCAATATTCTTGCTTACTTTTTCAGATGTTCTTCAAATGTTACGAATTTTTTAATAATTTCATTATATTCAGAAAGTCAAAACCTACAAAAATCACAATTTCTTTTATTTACATTCTTTTAGACAAAAATTGAATCTTTTTCAATATCCTCCAAAAAAAAGGACAAATTTTTGCTTGCTCAAAAAGAGTAAGTAAAAAAAAATAGTGTTTTTACAATATAAATTAAGAATTGATTATTAATAATCAATTCTTTTCGCTCGTATAACTTGCAATAAAATTAATAAATAGTAAACCCAGGCCAATATATTAAACAAACTGTAGTTAGATGTAACAAATAATATTTATTATTCACAAATCATAATCTTCCGACGATAAGTTTCAATACTACGTTTCGACTATACTTAATTCTCATCAGCCGCAGAAATATTATACATAATTATCCCACATATCTAATTAACATATTATGAGGATCATCTCACGTTCGAGTTACAAAGATAATATAATATAATCAATTTTATAAGGATAATCTTACCTTATTACAAAAGACAGTATAACACAACCATATTATAATATATGTAGTCAAACTTATTAAACATCAGGCGATGTAATAATGAGTCATGATTCCGAACCAATTCATTGGTTAAAAGCGAGAAAGGGCAGTCATTATGAATAAAAGAAGAAATTTCCACAAAATGATTGGATATAAGACAATAGGAGGACAAAAAACGGTAATTCTCTTGTGCAAATCAATACGGTTAACAAAACAACTTTAATAATAATTAATACGCTTAATACGCATGTTTCGACTCACTTTTGAGTCATCCTCAGAGACATTATGATGTTTGTAATTACAAAAAATTTTTTTACAAATTAATTCATTTCAGTGAGCCACCTCCACCTATTAAAAGTACAGTCGTATGTTCGATCATCGCTACCTTTTTATTATAGATATATGTAAACGATATAATTATGGCGGTATCTACCACTTTGATTGATTCGATTTTCATTTTGAACTCTCAACATCCGAGGATTCAGTTTACCATGGAGATCGATAACGATAGATTAAATTTTTTGGATGGTACTTTAATAATAAATAATAATAATAAAATCGAATTTGATTGGTACCATAAATTAACGTTTTCGGGGAGATACTTGAATTTCTTGTCTTATCACCCGATTTCTCAAAAGAGAGGCACGATTACCAATTTGATAGATAGAGTGATTTTACTTTCGAATCCTAAATTTTACAATATCTTGATCATTTTTGTTTTGTAATTAAAATCTTGTTGGAGAATTATTATTATTAAAATTCATTTTTGATATTAATAAATGAAACATTATTAAAATGTATAAAAAGAAGAGCATAAGAAACCACCGCACAAGTTATAGTTTGTGATATTTAATTATTACTACATTAATTAAAACATTAAACGTTTCGGCCATAATCTGGCCATCTTCAGTAAATTCATAATATTCTTAAAACGCAGAGTTACATAGTTGACATTAAATTCAACCGTCGTGTGTTGTAATTATATAAACGTGTTCTTTTCTATGTGAAGATGTTTCATACAATAATGTTACAACGCCTATTGTCATATCACGAAAAGTGTAGAACAAGAATTTCCAGATTCTAATTTAAAACAAATACTATAACTTGTGTGGTGGTTTCTTATGCTCTTCTTTTTATACGTTTTAAAATTATAACCACGTTTGTTTTCACGATGTATTGAAATATTATTAATTTTAAGAGAAAGAAACAAGATAATGATAATAGCGAAAGCGCGAGGCCTTCATGGTTTACGTTCCGATGTTTTCCGAATTCAATAGATTAAACAGCGAGGATATTAATATTATCATTTTATAGTGTTAATAAGTTGCGTGAATTCGTCAAGGTACATAAGGATCCTCTTCCGCATGAAAAGAAATCTAATGTGATGTACAAGATCTGTTGCAAAGATTGCGATGCGAGCTACGTGGGACAAACAGGAAGACAACTGAAGACGAGAATAGTTGAGCACAGGAATCGTATTCGGTAAAACACAACCACACATTCAGTCATAACTAACCACCGATTGGAAAAGAACCACGAGTTCGATTGAAAAAGTATTGCAGTTTTGAGAAACCCCAGTACAGAAAGAGATTGGTGTCAAAGATGCTACATCAGGAAACATGTAGCCTCAACTTGCAGATAGACTTGGAGGGGCTTTCCAAGGCCTACTTTCCAATTGTAGATGGACTATAAATTTCGGAGCGTTATTGCCAAAGCTAATCAATGTTCTTCATTACATTAAGATTAAAGATTCAGTTTTGGTTTTGATGTCCGTCTGGACTATAATTAATATCAGAGTTTTCTTTCTTTCTTTTTTTTTCTTTGCGATCAACGTTTTTAGTGTATTAAA